GTCTTTATTTTCAAATATTAATTCTGACAATCCTTAGGTTGCCATTTCTTTACATGGTTAATCTATGTCGTCATTAGGAGCTATATATTATCGTTTAAATCTATGTCGTCATTAGCATCATCATTAGGAGCTACTCCCACATACCTTGTCGGTTGTAGTGTGACAAAATTGATGTAATACTAATTTACATACAAACATACGCCTCACTTAATGATCCCCTGATATAATTTAAGCTCCACCAAAAAAAAAAAAAAAAGGAAATCGTTAATCACGATACTATTCGGCACTCTATGGTGTATATGGAGGGCTAGGAACGATAGAATTTTCAACAAAGCTCAATGGCAACCGACAAAAATTGTTTCTATTATACAGTCTCAAACTTTTAATTGGGTTAAATATCGTGGTGATAGGGCAAGGTTAGAATGGAGTATGTGGATTAATAACCCACTAAATTGTAACTGATTAAATGTAACAATTTCGCTTCACTAGCTACTTGCTGGTGGGGTTGATTACTCAATAAAATTGATTTTTGTCGGTTCAAAAAAAAAAAAAAGTAACACAAGAATTATTCTTTACTGATTTACTCCACCCACCGGTTCCTAGGCAAACTTATTTAAGATGGTTACCATATTTTGATTTTTTACATGTCTTCCTAATTGTTTCTCAACTTACTATTAAAGGCGTCTCCAACCCATCCCAATGCCATTTTTTCCTACATTTTCTCCCTTATTCTTTTACAACCATATCACATTTCTCCCATATTTTGAGATATAAATAGTATTACCTTGTATATGGAGTAACACTATTCATTTCTCCAAATATGATGATGAAGTTTTAGTTGTTGGGTTTAATCATTCGTTTTATATATTTATATATTTTTAGTTTATTTTATCTATTAATTATAATTTAAATATAATATTTAATATTTATAATATTTTGTTATATAACAAATTATATTAATTAATCAAAAATATAAAATTTCTTTTAATTTATCGAATTCATATTTAAACTCGGATAAAAAGATTCGGGTCTTAAGGCAAGAGGGATGGTGTCACAATGTCACAGTCCACGTAGGCGCCACGTAAAATATACCACACTACAACAAAAAATTGTCAGATACATGACGTGCGTTGTCACACTTGCAATGCTACTTTTTCTTAATATTTAATTTACAAAAAAAATCAATATAAACAAGTTATTTTAATAAAAACTTAAATTTCATTAAATTAAAAGAAAATCACACTTGCAATTAAAAACCATAACACACTTGAAATTAAACTAACACACAACCCACTAGAAATTAGAAGAGAATGCGCTTAAATTTGACGTTATTTGGGGCACTTCCTCACAATTTGTCAAAACTCAACATACGGAAAGATTTGTTGGTTTCTTCACGGAAAGCCTCAAGAGCAAATAAAAACAAAGTACTTTCATTTTCACCTTACTCGGCTTCACTCATCATCCTATAAAACACATTGTTAAACTGAGCTGAAAAAAAAAAAAAAAAAAACTTGTGCGTCTCCATTTGAAAAAGACTTTATCTTTGTTTCGAGGTACAATGGCTTCGCAATTGAATCTTTCGAAGATTCTACTCCAGAAAGTACTCATAGCGAGGTTAATGTTGACTGTGTCTTCTGTTACATCAACCCATGAATGGATCAATATGATCTCTTCGTCAGTTGATCAAACATGAGCCTTTTTTTAGCGATAAGGTTTTTGAAGAATATGGAAAATAAGAAAGTTATGAGAATTGAATTAATAAGATTTGAATGTGGTGAAGAATGAAGAATTATGATATTTATAGTTGAAGATTAAGGGTTTAAATTTTGAAAAAAAAAATAGTTATATTTTTTAAAATGATCTATTTTTTTAAATATAGTATTTTTGGAAAATGAAAAGTTGATTAAATGGTTAAAAAAAATGGGTTAATTTCGTTTCTCTCATCGGTGAAACTTCATTGAGTTGCCAAACCAAGCTCAGCACACCAAGTGGTCGACCCGCCCCGGTGTTTGCTGAGTATGTCGAGGTCTTCGCCCAGCGCATTCCATTGAGTCTTAACAACGACCCATACAAAGGCTCGATTATAGTATTTGTCGAGCTTTTTCAAAAAAAAAAAAAAAAAAAATGGTCTCTATGAAAAAGATATTGTATTATTGTTACTTGTAAAACGAGTTTTTAATTCTTGTACACTTGTAACATGTTAGCCCAATGTCGTTGGCCCATTAAGCGAAGGCCATTTGCTACTGGGCTCTATAGGTTTGATCAAGTCCAATAAGAGAGTTGCCAAAGCCCAAAGCAGAACAAGCATATTTAGTTTATTTATAAAAGAGGTTAAAGGAATAAAACTTAAACAAAAAATAAATCTTAAACATTCACGTTAAAGGGGTTAAAATACCCAAAATGTACAATCATGTTTACAATCTTTAAAACCAATTGATTAAAATAAAAGTGGGATTATTATTATTACCACATCATTTTTCAAAACCACAAGCAATCGTCA